GGAGGAGGTTGCTGGAGGGAGCAGTGGACGCGACGAGCCTTTCGCAACGAGTCTGGTGACTGCGGTACAGTGAGGAAACGCTCCTGGCACGCAGAGGAGCGCAGCGGCCGTGTGCTGCCATCCGTGTGTCTAGGGCTGAGCCCAAAAGTGTTGCTCGAGAGGCCGGGAGCGTGTCCGAGCTGCTCTCTGGTGCCGTCTCCTGAGACACCCATCCTCTGGGTGGGCACAGCACTATCCCCGCAAGAAGAAACGTGGCGGGGGCTGAGCCCGGCAGTGGCCCCAGCCGAGTGCCGGCTGCCTGCGGCGCCGCTTCTTCCTGGGAAAGTGCAGGGAAAGGGTGAGAAGAGCGGGTTGTTGCATCAGGGCTCTGCTCCCCAGGGGACCCTGGGGATGCCTGGGTGACAGCGTGTCTGCCTTCCCCTCGGAGGACAGCCCTGTGCTGCATTTAGCCCTTTTCCACCATTCCCGGCTCTCCAGCGCCGCTGGATAAAGAGCTCCCTGTCTCGGTTACAGCTGAGCAGACCCAGACTCTTGCAGGGACGCGAAAGGGCTGTCGTGGTGGTTGGACAGGGAGGGAAGCCGACGAGGGAGCTTTGCCGACTCCTTTCAGTTATTTTTAGCTTGGCGTCCTCGTTCTGCTCCGACGTGCAGGTTCCCAGGCTGGGTGGGAGCATTTTTCCAGCCTGGGGGCTGCTGGGATAATGGGAATTGGGGGGCCCAGTGGGAAATCTGTGAAGGGAGCTAGCAGGGTTACGGGCAGCAGGCTGGAAAGGATCCCTGGTCCACCCATCTCGTCTTTCCCCTCTCCTCCCAAAGTTACAAGCTCCCTTTATCCCTCCTGCCCCTCCACAGGAGCAGGGGTACCCGATGCAGCGGGGATAACCATCCAGAGCCAACCGCTGCTCTCGGCATGTCTAACTGCCGAGAGGAGGCGGGGAGGGCAGGAGGCACCCAAGGGAGAGCGTTGGGACTTCTGCCCGTGACAAATCCCCCCGTGACCTTTACATCGTTCACTCTTTGCCCCGGAGATGGGGATTTTTTTGCCCGCCCTTGGCACCGGTCGCGGGGCTGGCAGCGAGCGCTGCTTGGGAGCTGTGGGGTAGCGAGATGCAGGGAAGATAAACTATGTGGGAAGCAAACACCAGTGGCATTTGGGGCTGGAATTTCCAGCTGTTGTGCCGAATTTTTGTCAATTGTAATGGGATGACTGAGGGAGCAGCTGCCTCTTTCTGGGAAAAAACCTGGGGCTGGCATCTGTTGGGGGCCTCGGTCTTGCACCCAGGCCAAGCTGCTCGGGAGGTGTCAGAACTGCTTTTGCCCACGAATCGAGCCTTTTCTCCACACCAGGCGGTTGGTTTCCTGAATGCATTCATTGCTTTATGGTTTAACTTTATTCCAGTTGAGTGAATTCCCTGCGGGTACCCGGGATCTGAGCCGCCCCATCCGTCGGGGAGCGGTGAGAAAGATCGAGTGGAAGCATTTGCAGAGCAGGCGCTGCGCCGTGGCTCCGGCCGTGGATTCGGCACCCGGTGCCTGTGCAGAGTCAGGGTGTGGGATTTTGAAATCTGCCTTCTTGCGTTCACGCCAGTAAATTCAACTGCATGAAACTGGATGGAGAACAGACTGCCGACTGTGTCGGGTCCAGGCAGATCTGGCTTTGAACCTTCCGGCGTGTTGGAGGCAATTGTAAAGCTTGTGGTGGCCTCGGGCTTGTCGCATCCCCGTTACTCTGGTTGTGGGGACCACTGGCTGGGAGTTGGTTTCCTACAGATCGCTCGGAATTGGGTCCTGCTTTCCCCGAGCAGGCTGGAGAGCGGCGGGCAGAGCCTCTGCGGGGAGCTGCAGCTTTGCGGGGAGAGGCTGGTGGGGACCGGCAGCGGAGAAGGGTCGTGGCGGCGCTGCCAGCCCGGCTGCGATGGGCAGAGGGACTGTGGCAGTCCCCACGGGGATGTGACAGCGGGTTGCAGGCGGTACAGCGGATAAAAGGGGCTGCATCTGCCTCCCGACACTTTCCTTCTGTGCTGACAAATGCCACACGATGCTGCCGCTCTGCAGCCTGAATGTCTGCCTCGCTGACTATTTCTTCTATATGCCAAGTCCCTAAACATCTGCAACGTTAAAGCGTCATGCGGAGGGGACGGAGCAGGCGGTGCAGGGCCAGGCTGTTCCTGGGAGGGCTGAGAACCCCACCAGCTCCTGAGACCAACAGGGTGACAGCTCTGCCCTGTCCCCCACCCTGCCTGTGACATTGCCCAGGGCGGCTGCTGGGTGGCCTGAGCTGAGCATCGCCCTGCGAGGAGGGAGCCAAACGCCCCGGATCGCGGCGTGTACTGGCTGGAATATCGTGGTCCCGCTGCCCCCCCC